TTTTCGTATCGAGCCTTCACGAGTTTAGTATCGGTAAGAAATGTACATTGGTTTCGCTTGTCGCATCTTTCAACACTTATGGCTTTCTGCTCGCTTTCCTTTTTTTTTCGCTTCTTTTGCTAATTCCCCTCTGCCCCTTCACTTTCCTTGCATAATACTCCCCTCATCTTCCCACTACCCACCCTACCACAAACGACTCCACACCCGAGGGGTCCCCCACTCGTCAACTCGTTGTACACTTGGCCGCGCCCAACTCGCGCCAAACTCGCGTTCAACTCGCGACAACTCGCGAAAACTCACGATAACTCGCGAAAACTCGCGTGAAAATCGCGAAAACTCGCGCCAAAATCCCGCAAAACTCTCTAAAAATTGATCCTAACTCGCGGCCTACTCGCGGCAACTCGCCAACTCGGCAACTCGTTGTACACTCATTTTGGAAGTGGGGGACCCCTCGTCCACACCTCACTCGGCTTCTCTGCTGCGAATGCTTCCCTTCTTCAGTTATTCAACGAATGTGACGTCACATTCGTTTTATTGTGAATCGTGTCACGTTCGTTTAAATGTTGTGTCACATTCGTTTAAACGTGAATCGCCCAATGCCTGGTGCTATTTGAGCATAAATTCAAGTGAAGTCACGTTCAAATGAATGTGACACAATATTCAAACGAATGTGACACGTTTCACATCAAAACGAATGTGACGTCACATTCCTTGAATAACAGTGTTATACTTTTTTTACTTTTTACATCAGACCTGGCGTTTCCTGTGTTGCTTCGATACAACTCTTATCGCCCTTTCTCTTTTCTTTTTTGCTTTTGGCAATTTTTTGGAAATTTTAATTTTTACTGGTTTGCGAATTGTTATCTGATTGTTCTTACTTCCACGAATTTTGTAGGAGTGCAGCAGGTGGTGTTGTAGATGCCAAAAAATTGATTTCACACCCTTCAACTATTTTCAAACACATTGCGGAGGAGGCTGAAAAGGCAAAGGTGTCACTGAAAACTGAGCTCACTGAGGTGTTGAAGACACGGGCTGTTGGTGCAACTACCGACGGGTGGACTGAGGACCACACCAAGTCCAAACTTCTAGGCGTGACAGTGCACTTCGTCTCAGACAAGTGGAAAGCCCAATTCAGGCAAGTGAAATACGATGAAATTTAAAAAAACGCATGCCATAAAAAAGGGATTTTGCGCTCAAATTGTTTGACTTTGTTCGACATTTTTCAAGCACTTTCTTTCGCAACACCTACGACTTCTCTATTACAATGTTAATTTTAGCATAGTTCTCTTAATTTTCAGGCTCTTGTTTGCCGCCCCTCTAGGCACGGACGAGGGTTCAGCAGATAAGTTGCGTGCAGCTCTTGATACGGCCCTCAACAAGTTCGATTTGGATGCCACGAAACTCTATTGGGTCACTGACAATGGAAGTGACATCGTAAAGGCATTGTCCGATGTACCTAGGTTCTATTGCATTAATCACGCAATTAATATTGTCGTGCGGACAACTCTGAGCGTCAAGTACGCTGAACTAATCATGAGGTAAAGTAAAGTCGTTTCATCGCTTGTTTACTACACCCCCCCCCCCCTCTACCCTGTCTCACTCACGCAATAAAATTTCCCCTCTTATTCTTTAGGTGCATTCGGAGTGTTCCCCTGGCCAGCAAAGTAGTCGATTCTTGTACGGCATGGGTGTACGCCGTGCGTGCTCAGCTGCCGGCAAAACAGCTTGCCAGGAGGGACCTGCGGCTATGTTTGACGAATCCTCAGAGCCAGTCGCACATTAAGATGTTGCGGTCTGTGCGTGACACACTACCCCGGGTAAGTTATGATTCCGATCGTTAATCATTTTAAACGGGAAATAACAATCATACAAAAACAGTACCGAGGGCGAGCTTTTGAGGATATTTAATCGATTTTTGTTTTCCGTTTAGGTTCAAGCAATTTTAAATGAAGCTTGCCCGGCACTTGATGTCTCAGTAGAGCAGATTAATGCTCTGGTGGCATTCTTAGAGCCATTCGATTTAGATGGTAGTCGAGAGAAGTCAGCTAGTGTCACGCCATCTCGAGTACCTGCGCTACTGGGTCATCTTCGTATCGACCCAGAAGATTCAGAAATGGTCTGTGACCTTAAAAACTTGGCTCGAGACGAGTGCAAGATTCTCGATGCCATTGTTCAAATTGACAACTGCAAAATTATAGTAGGCTACTTCAATAGATCGGGGCTAAAAAGTGACTTAAAAAAAACCACCAAACAGGAGGTCCCTACTAGATGGAACTCACAGCTAGAAATGCTGGAATCTATGCAATTTTCATGGGACAAAGTAAGTAGGATGGACCTATAGCGTAGAGTGTAACATTAGAAGTACACATTTTTGTGAACGGCGAGGTGAATAATAGGCATCTTTGTAATAATTACGCTTTGTTTCGCAGATCAAGGATATTGTGAATGAGCCTGGCTGTCCACATCTTGCTACCTTCAATGCCATTGACAAAAATACTGTGGACGACTCGATTGATTTTTTAGAGCCGTTCGAAGTACACACTAAAGAGCTTGAAGGCCACCTGCACCCTACTATTCAAAAGTGCTGCCCAGCAAAGCACGCACTTCTTGCTCATTGCAGACCTTGCGCCACGGACAGTGAGCTAGTTTCCGCTATTAAGGAAAAAGCAAGGTACTTGATTCAGGAGAAAATAGTTATAGCAGAGGAGCACAAGCTGGCATTATTTCTGTGGCCCTCTATGAACGAGCTCAACGCCATTCCGACGGAATGCGAGCGAAAAGAGGTAAAAACCTATTTTATCCCCCCCCCCCCTCAATCCGCGCGCGTGGTACTAATTTCACCCTCTAATCCTTTTTTAGGTACATGCAGCTATGCGGCGCAAAGCCTTAGGTGTGGATGCGGCTGACATCGACAACCCTGATCCTGGTGTGCAGGAAGGGGGGCCGACACCCGCTAAGCGTAGGCGGGCGGATCCGTATGCGTCCCTTAAAACCAAGAAAAATGTCGTAAGCAAGGACGAAATAGACAAATACTTGGAAATGACGGCGGACGACATAGGAGATGACGAGGACCTTCTCGAGTGGTGGAGAACCAAGGTGCGTAAACACTCTGAACGCACATCCGAGTGTTCAGTCTAAATTTTGACGGTACTTGTAATTTTTGTTTAAATTGAATGTTGCACACTTGTAGGTGCGTGATCGCCTATTTACACGCTTATAGGAGTAAATGTGTGATTTTTGCTTGAAAATTCACACACTTGTGCCTCTATGTGTACGAATAGCGTTCACACACCTGCAAGTGTGCGACATGCGCACACTTGGGTTTCCGGTGTAACGACATGAATACCGCTGTCGAAACGTACCTTTTCTAATCCTATCGTAATTTACAGGGAACTGTGCCCTTCCCAAAAATGTCAAAGGTCGCAATGGATTTGCTCGCCATTCCCGGCTCCAGCGCACCTTGCGAAACCATCTGGAGTGATGCTGGACGCATAGACACAGATGAAAGAAGTAGTATGAAAATGGAGACTTTAGAAAATAACTTGGTGCTGCGGCACTACCTCCGTGCTAAGCGAAGTGCTTAGCGTAGCATAGGTCATGAAGTTAAAGAAATTTTTTTTTTGTTATTTTTCGTTTTATTTTTGACAGATTATATTACTGTTTCCTGAAGATGTCTGAATATTATTATTTTACGCTATTCCCTGATCTCACTCCATGCTCTCACTGGAAATTAGGGGAGGTGACCGAGTGGTACTTCATTATTTATTCAAGCATGCAGTAATTTTTCTGTATTTTCTTGTCTAATCTGATTTTTTTTTTTGGTTTCTGTCCTGATTTTTAATTTATTTTTCTTGAATTTCTTTGGGGGTTTACTACATTGATTGTTATCATTGAAAAACCGCTCGCAAACAAACCCACGTGACACATTTTTGGGAAATGAGTAAAAACCCTACCCTACGCTGCAGGTGCATGCATTGCTCCACTACCGGGAGGGAAGGGGGTGGGGTGGGGGGAGGGGGCTTTGGCTGAGTCTCAGTCACGTGCATCAATCCGTACAGATTTGTAAGAAAAATAAACTCTTTTATTTAAGAAACTATACACTTAAGCCTTTTTTTAAAAAAATATGCGTTTTATCAAATCGGAGTGCAGTGCGCGATGCGCGCGACCACTAACTGTTCCTGTTCGTACTCTCATATCGGCCTGGTTAGCTAGGCAGAAGGCATGAGGAGAAAGAGTCACCGAGTCACGAGGCCACAGTCACATTGTCTCTATCCAAAATTCACTGAGCATCTATCTCTACCCCCTATCCCCTACTGCCTCCCACTCCCAGTCTACAGATCAACCATTTAAACAGACCGCCTCCCCTCTCCCTCTCTGGTCCCGCCGTGCCTGAGCGAGCAAGAGCTGTAGTCTCTCTTGTCCGTTCCGTCTGCCTGCTGTCCGCTCGTCTGCTCGCACCGCTCGCCGGAGTGCGGCCCAGACGAGCGCCGGCGGTCCGACGCAGGCTCCCTTCCCGGCCGAGCCGGGCCCGGGCCGGGCCTCAGGTCTGGCGAGCCGAGCCCGAGCCGAGCCAGCCAACAAGCGGGGCCAGCGGAAACGAGCAAGGGGCAATCACCGGGTAAAATTTCGATTGGGCGGTTTCCCGGATTTTGGGCGGTTTGGCGTTTTAAGGGCCAAAATCGTTAAAAAGGGTCGCTTTCGGTCTAAAACGCGCGTTTTGGTGCTCTATACCTAATGTGTTTTTATGCAAAAACTCATCAATTTCACTGCGCGCCACTCAAAAGTCTTTTGAATCCCGATATTATCCCGCGAATTGGGCGGGTTGGGTCATTGGGCGGGCTTGGGCGGGTGCAGCGCGCTCTAGCGGCGGGTCGAGCCCGGGACTTTCTGGCAACACTGCTGGCCACATGGCCCGCCAGTGCCCTCGCCGCATCCAGTACCAGCAGAACAGCAGCGAGAGGCGAGGTGGGCGTCGTGACAACCGGCGCGACGGCCGACGTGTCCACATGACGCGCTCCACCTTCCCGGTGCCGGCGCAGCCTGTCAGCGTGCGCGTCGTGACTACGGACCGGGTGATGATCCCAGCCGGCGTAGAGATCAGCGTGGCCGTGTCGGTCGTAGGCTGCGACGTTGTAGGGCGTAGTGTTGACGTGGCCTCTTCTTCCTCTCGGTGTCAAGGGTCCGAGCACGAGAAGAGGGGAGCCTCACAACCCACCGCTCATGCGTTCCCCATGCACCTAGTCGGACTGGCAGTCGGGGAGGCAGGCGCGGAGCCAGCGAAAGGTTATAAGGGGGGCATTTTTCTGAATGTGTCGTGTTGGTTGCCTAACTCACAGGGGAAGTTAATTAAAAACTGCCAATTTTTAAAGAGCAAACACCTGTCTTCCAAAATGATGAAGGACACTTGTAAAATGCTTCTGATGCTCCAAAGTCAGTTAAAAGAAGCAGTCGCGAGCGAAGCGAGCGAAAAAAAAGATTGAAACCATGATTTAAAATTGGGACCACAGGCTTAGTGAAAAGGGAAATTATAGAAGTCGTCGCGAGCGAAGCGAGCGAAAAAATTTCTGAAAAATACGATTTAAAGTTGTGACCAAATATAAGTAAAGTCACAAAAGAAGTAACCATTACCGCAAACGAAACAAACTCAAAAAAAAATCTGAAGAGTACCAATTGTCTTGTGTCCTACGGAGGAAAAAAAATAATCTGCCTATTTAAGAG